GAACATGAAATCAACAAGTGGGATATGCTAAGGATAAAACACCTGCATGCATCAAAAGACCTCACCAAAAGAGTAACAAGAGAACCCACAGACTGGGAGATGATTTTTAGCAATGACACAGCAGACAAAGGCTTATGACTAAAATCTACCATACCCTCCTAGCCTGCAAAAAGAGGAAAACAGTTAACCTCCTGAGGAAGTGGTCAAAAGACCTAAAAAGACATTTCACAAGGAAGGAGTCCTGAATGGCCAATAAAGATATGAGAAAATGCTCTGATCATTATCCATCAGAGAAATACAAATCAGAAAATCAGAGAGCAAGAAATGTTGAAGGGGATGTGGCAAGATAGGAACTCTCCTCCACTCCTGGTGATCATGTAGATATGTACAGCCTCTGTGGAAAGCAATCTGGCTATTTATCGCAAATGGAAATTGAGCTACCTTATGACTCAGCTATCTCTTTACTGGCATATACCCAGAAGTAAGAAATAGACCACAACCAGATGTCTGTGCTCCAATGTTTATTGTGACACAATTCACAATTGCAAAGAATTGGAAACAACCTAAATTTCCACCGATACACAAGTAGATTAGAAAACTTTGGCACATACACACAATGGAGTAGTACACATCACCAAGAGCACTGATGGTCACATTGAGCACATCATTTCAGGGGAAGAGTTGGAGGAAATTATGCTAAGCAAAGTGTGTTAGTCTGGGTTGCGTAGAGAAACAAAGTCATGGACACTCGTATGTATGTAAGAAAGAGCTTTACACAAAGAGTAATTGTACATTACAAAAACATCCCAGTTCAGGGCAGATCAAGTCCATAAGTCCAATATTAGCCCATATGTCCAATACCAGTCTATAAAGTCCTCTTCAGACTCATGAAACACATGCAATGACGCTGAATGCAGGAAGATCTCAGGCCAGTGGGTGGGAAGTCTTGTGGATCCAGAGGTGTTGTAAGCATCTTAGCGCTAGCCGGGGTCTCCACGTGGCTTCTCCAACTCCCAGGGCTCTGGCTGCATTAGGGTAGCTTCATATGGCTTCTCGTCAGAAATGTCTTCAGGGAGTGAGCAAGTGTGAGCAAGTGTTCTGCTTCCAGGGGACTATTTATCTCCCTAGCACCTCCAAATGAGGTCATCAAGCTGCGACCTGATTGACAGGTTAGAGTTTACCCCTTCATTCGTAAGCCTTAAATTTATAACAGGTTATGTAACTACCACACAACGTTAGCCAATCACAAAAGGACAAGTACAACATGAGTCCTCTGATGTAGGTATAATCAGCACAGTAGGCAGAGAAGAAAAGCCACTTATCTCACACTATACCTGTTGAGGTATAGGCAGTCAGGTGGGGACAGACCAGACCCAAGGATGTACATGTTATTCCAACACAAAGAAGGGGAAAGGGGAGGGAGAAAAGGGGGGAGACAATGGCACAGGGGGAGCAGGGCACTAGCCCACCCAGGGAGAGCGTATTGTTTATGTATGCCAGAATTGGTAGTGTGTATGTAGACCCTACCACAGTGCACCAAACCTTAAGGACAATGTAACCACAGGGAGCAACTCATGGATAGAGTGGGCTACAGGGCCAGCCCCAATCAGATCCAAACTGACTCCCTTCCTAGAAGTATGTGCTACAGAGAACAACAATAAACCTACAGGTTGGGGAGAGGGGCCGGCATGCCACACCCACACGAAAGCAAACCAAGAAGGAAAAACTGAGTGAGGGTCTAGACTCCATATCGACACACCAGGCTCGGAGGTCAACATCCCTACACAGAACTGCTAAGAGACCTGTAGGGAAGACAACAGCTCAAGACATGATGTCCCCTCACTGAAGCATACCTCGACAAAGGACAATACTGGGGACACACAGTAGGGAGTGAGTCCAGGCCTAAACCCCCACAGCAGGGATAACCAAGAAGGGAACTTAAAAGATCAGTCACAGGAGCAAAGCAAAGCCACAAAGCTCCTAAGGAACCCCCATAATAGACTTCAGGCTAGGAGGGGCAGTCCCAGAATTCCCCCAGGACCAGTGGGGTGATAGTCATAAAGGTCAGTGGACAGACCTGGTATGTATGTTTTTTTCCTAGTTATTATTATCTCTCTCTCTCTCTTTTTATTCAATATTTTGTTTTCTTTTGGGGGGAAGGGAGACAGCAGGTGGGTGTAAGACATGAAAATAATAATTTATAATTTATCAAGGGGTCATGAGGGGAAAGGGGGAATGGAGAAAAAAAGAGGAGCTGATACCAAGGGCTAAATAGAAAGTAAATGCTTAGAAAATGATGGCCAAAATAAATTTTAAAAAAAATTTTAAGGAAAAAAAAGAAAATTATGATGGCAACATAAGTACAAATATGCTTGATACAATTGATGTACGGATTGTTATAGGAGTTGTAAGAACCCCCAATAAAATTATCTTTTAGTAAAAAATAAATAAAAGATAATTTTAATTATATATATATACACAAATACTCATGACTGAACACAGTTTTTCCAATAACTCTCCCATAAAAGAACTGTCATAAAGGAGCTACCATTTAAGATGAACCATTTCTGTGTTTGGCTGTGTATTAGTCTGGGTACTTTGGAGAAACAAATCCACAGCAACTCATGTATAAGAGAGAGTTTTATGTAAAGAAAATGTGCATCACGAAAAC